CTTCGAAGAAATAAACATCCATTTTCCAAGAGGATCAATAAAAAAAAAACTGCTTATTAAAAAATAAGAACAAAAAACCATGCACTGCTTATTATCTATTGACATTTTTCTTTGTTTTTGATAGTATGTGTATTAAGATTTCCCACTTTTTAAAAAATTATCATGCCCTGCGTTCCCTGAATTATGCCTCTTTCAACTGTTTAATACAGATCTTTTTATTGTTGATTTTTGATGTATAGCAAAAAATTTTTCTTTGATATTTAGATATGGAAAAAAAAAATCAAAGTTTCTTTTTTTCAGATTATTTACGTATTAATATATGATACTGAAATCGTCATATTAATCGTTGAAACTCCGTACGTAACTGATCTTGGTGGTCAGCTAGGTTCATGATCTTTACCATCCATAACTGCAACACACAAATTGAGTTTCAACTATTAAACTTATAATGAAATTAAATTAACTACTTTAACGAATTCTGTATTTCTTCAGATAATCTAATTTCTATCTGGCTACTGTGGCACAATTGACACATTTTCCGGTATTTTATTAAACCTGATTTGCTGTGACTTCTTATAATGTTGTTATTAAAACTAGAGTAGGAAGTGCGGATATCTTTGCTACACAGTCTTCGTCGACAACTGTCAAGATATAATAAAAAATTTGTAATTGGTAATTGTTATTTTAAACTCGGTTACTAAACCATTGGATTGAGAAAGATTAAATAATTATATTAGGATTTAATTCAGTAAGCAAAACTTTTAAAGGCACACTCTTTAAATCATGTTTAAGTGACAATTATTGCAAGAGTGAACCTTTTTGTATTGCCTTTTACTTAACCCTGTAAATATTTTATGTCTATATCAAGTACAAATAAAAAATATGAATTGCTTTAAAATTTTAATAGTTACATTCATACTCGGGAAAAACTTTGACTTATATGTTTCAAAAGGCGCCACATTACATTACGTGAAAGTTTATTTGCATACTAAAGAATACTTTTCGGCTATGTAACTGCTTACTATTACTATTAACATAGTCGCAACTAGTTTTCTTGAATTATTAACAATATGCTTAGTTTTAAATGCCTTTAGTGTTAGGTGCTTAGTTCTCAACTATAGCTTTTGTATGGCTGATATAAATAATAATAATAATAATAATAATAAAATAAAAATATAAATAAAAAAATAGCACATCATATGTTATACCCCATATTGGAATTGTCCCGATTCAGAATCGAGACAGCCCCAGATGAGAAGTTTGCAGCTTTGACCAACGTTATGCTAACTAAAAACCAAAAAATTTTTTCTAACCCTAGCGCCAACTCTAAAGTTCTAATTCTGTTAAAATAATTTGTAAAATTCCCATCCGGGGCAGGGTACGACATATTATATATTTATATTATGTTTATAATAAAGTTCTGGCTTATCGCACTTCAAAATTTATTAATCACGTAAAGTATGATATTAAAGAAAAGTAATGTCAACTACATCAAAGAGTAATTTAACAGAAATAATAAAGCAGGAAAATGACGTTATTGAAGATAATATCAGAGATGAAATGATATTATATGAGGATTCAAATGAATGGGCGGAAAGGGGATATATTATTCGAAAATCAATTCCCGTTTCATTGGCTTATCTATTATTGTATGCATTACAATGGATTAGTGTAATTTCTTTAGGTCATTTGGTAACGTATCGCATTTAAGATTATAAATCAAATAGTTTTCTTTTAGTAAGAAAATTAAAAAAAATTGATTGAAATTAAAAAAATTTAATTAGGGATCAACGGAGCTGGCCGCCTCAACACTGGCTTCAATGGTAATAATCAATATTTATAGTACAGATCTGATTAGTTGGTTAAATCAATGGGTTAAATGGTCTGGTTAAGTTGGTGAGGTCATATTACCAAATGGCATATTGATTAAATAGTTTAGTACTGGAGTTGATAAAATTTAAGTTGTGATTCCATGTTAATTACAAATACAAAATGCTAAAGCAGGCTTTAAGGTTAATTTTGGTTGGTATTTAAGCAAATAGTTGCACATAAATTACAAATATAGGTGCTAAAACAAGAACTTTAAGCTATTTCAGGCGTTACTTTGTAACGTATGTGATTTAATAACCCTATTTAGTATAGTTCATAAAGAAAGGAATTTTCACAAGCCAATTCTGGGACGAAATAGTTTGGTCGGCTGATCTGGAATTAACAAATTTTGATCAAAAAAAAAATGCTATATGAGAATTTTACTATAGTACCATAACTCTTACACGGAATTTTTGGAGGTGTCTCAGAGAACCAATTTGACATCGTGAGAGTTTAAATCAAATATATATATATATATATATATGCATTATATATAGTTTTATTCTCAACAAATTTGCAAATTTATTTGTTGCCTAACTAATAAATATTTTTAAACAATTAGGTTTTTCTAATTACATTTGTGTCAGTAATGTATGGTGCTGCAACAGCGCTTGATACGCTTTGCTCGCAAGCTTATACATCTGGTAACATGAAAATGGTTGGAGTATATTTACAACGTGCCATTATCATAAATTTATTAGGGTTTATCCCTATTGCTTATATTTGGTGGGAATCAGAAAAGATTTTAATCTTCTTTCGTCAATCTCCCGAAATTTCTGCACAAGCTGCTTTATATCTCAGATATTTATTGATTGGAACTCCCGCATATTTGATGTTCGTAAATTTGGAGAGATATTTACTAGCCCAAGGTAACGCTAAATTACATATTATTGATTGATTAATTAGTTAATATGGATGAATTTAACACACGTAATCAATATGTAGGGATAATGAATGCTATTACATATGTATTAATAATCTGTTGTATAATTAACGCATGCTTAAATTTCATGTTAGTTTGGTATAAACCACTATCACTTGGTTTTATTGGAGCACCTATTTCCACATCTATTACCTATTGGTTAATGCTTTTCTTTCTTGTCATTTATACTAAATTCATTAATGGATATCAAGCCTGGGATGGATGGTCACGTGCTGCATTTCGTGGTTGGAAACCTATCCTTACATTAATGATTCCTGGTATCTTTATGGTTTGTTCAGAGTGGTGGGCACTTGAATGTATATCTTTTCTTGCTGGATATCTTGGTGAACTTTCACTTGCATCTCAGGGTATAATAACTTCTACACTTAATATGTTATATCCAATACCATTTGGAGTCTCTGTAGTAGCATCAAATCGTGTTGGAAATTTATTAGGTGCTGGTTTAGTAGAAAGAGCTAAAATGACTTCAAAACTTTTTATGCAAATCGCTATTATTATTAGTTTATTTAATGCTGCCATCATGATAGGCTTCAAGGATATTTTGGGGTTAAGTTGCGATCGAATTATATAATTTAATTTAATTGCTGTACATTTACTTATTTAAATTTATTCGTAAATTATATTTATTATAGATACATCTTTACCTTTGATGATGATGTAGTCAAATATACGTCTTATGCCTTAATATTTACTGGACTTTTTGTGGTATCCATTTTATTTATTCAATTTTATTTACTTAAATATCAATGAATATATAAATTATCAGTTGATATTAATAAGTTCATTTTTTTTACGCTTTATAAAAAGATACCCGATGGTATAAACACAGTCGGATCTGGTATTCTTCGTGGGCAAGGGCGTCAAAATATTGGTGCACTTCTTAACACCCCTGGATATTTCTTTGTAGGAATACCTATTGGTATACTTGCAGCTTTTAAATTTAAATATGGATTACGAGGACTTTGGATTGGAGAGATGATATGTTCATTTATAGTTTGCATCATTCTTATTATTATTATTTGTAGAACTGATTGGCAACGACAATTAGAGGAATGTAAAAAGCGAATGAAAAAAGACAGGGATAGATTTGAATCTATAATTAGCAATGACCCTGATTTTTAATGTTAGTTTGATTCCGAATTTTAATACATATCGATATGGTTAGTAAAATTAATATTTCCATATCAATATATCTATTTCAAGATTTATAATCCCTTTTTTTAATTGATCCGATAATATATAGATTATTTAAAGCGTTAATGTATCTGTCTTTTCTATTGTTTATAAATGGTAAATATAATTTCTCTGGCAAAACTTAATCAATACCCTATATTTGTTCCCTAGCGAAGGGTCATTATTTTGTTGTAAAAAGGATATGGTATTAGATAAATGTATTTTTTTTTATCATTATTATTACAATTGAAATCTTATAGTTTCTCGGACTTTTATTAAAGTGTCTTCTTTACAACGGCCAATTTGACAATAACAGAAAATAATATTGTCACGCTGTACATATAAATAAGATAGCTGCGCGACGTTGCTACGCAAAACCAGAAACAGGGGACGTGAGGAGTATCGGTATTGCATATATAGGTTGTCGCACAATGGACATGTGATGTATGGTAGCCAGATCCCGAATGACATATAAATTTTTAGAATTACATACACTGGCAATCATAAATAATGCAACAAAAAAGTTTTTAGTTAGATCGTATTATCTCACGCAATTCCGGGCGTATCCGTTAATTTTGTATTTTATTTTATTCATAAAATGGGTTTAAAAATTTAGTGAACAAAATTTTTCTGGGGCACAAGCTTTTTTCAATTTTATATGTTGCATTATTAGAATATCATACTCACTATTCGATAACCATAATATGTAATTAATTATTTTAGAATTATTATACAAACATTAAAGTAAACAGAATCAAACTTCATACAAACCTGTATAATTATTATTGAATAATTAAATGATTATAGTTAATTCTTTATATATTCTCTTGAAACACAATGTTGAAGTGAACAGAATTAATTTTTATACTCATCTTGATAATTTATTAAAGATTAAATAATTACACTTAATTATACATTCTTTTAAAACACAAACATTAAAGTAAACAGAATTAAACTTTATACTCACTCTGGTGATTTATTAAATAATTAAATAATTACAGTTATCAAACAATTAAATGATTATAGTTGAGTATACATTGTCTTAAAACATAAAGGTTAAAGTAAATAGAATTAAACTTCATATTTATACTAGTAATTTATTAAACTATTAAATGATTAATTATACATTGTCTTAAAACACAAACATTAAAGTAAATAGAATTAAACTTCATAGTTATGTCAATAATTTATTAAACAATTAAATGATTAGTACTAATTATATATTTTTTTAAAATGTATTCATTAAAGTAAATGAAATTAAACTTTATACTCATACTATAATTTATTGAACAATTAAATAATTATAATTAATCATAAATTTTTTAAAACTCAAATGTTAAAGTGAACAGAATTAAACTTTATACTCATGTTGATAATTTATTGAATAATTAAATGATTATAGTTAATCATGCATTTTCTTAAAACATAACCATTAAAATAAACAGAGTTAAACTTCATACTCATACTAGTAATTTATTAAATAATCAAATATAGGTCATATTATCATTTTTGATACATCATATTTTATA